GCCATAACACCTAGCAGAGAGGGAGAGGGAGAGGGAGAGGGAGAGGGAGAGAGAGAAATCATATGAAGCACACAACGGTTCATGGAAAAAAATAAACTAAACTTGACTGATCAAATCACTATAAAACATCAAACTCTTTGCACGTTTTAATCAGACTGATCAACCACCAGCCAAATGCTAGTATTTGGCTGAAATAACTTCTTCAGGTTTCAAGCTGAATGGAACTTAACAAGTTCCGATTTCATTAGTTAACATTGTTTCTAGACTCTAGAGAAAAAGGCTCCTCAAATTAACACCAATCTTCTTTTATATGTTTCATTTTATTCTAGATACAATATGTTACATAGTTTTGGAGAGCTATGAGTATCTTGGATACACTTTCAGGGTGATCCATCAGATCCCACCACCAATTAAGTTATTAATGGACAGACTAATTGTTGCGTTATATTTACCATATTGATGACCACAAAGACGTACAAGTTGTAGATACATATATGCATGAAGATAGCTTTTAAGGTCAATCAAAAGCTCCAAATTGCCCCAAAACCAGATCTAACAGGAACATTGATTTGGAACAACCTTGTAGTAGATCCAGGTTTGCCAGGGAAACATGCCACAACTTCTATCAAAACAAAAGTAGTCTAGTATTCCCTCCATATGAAGCCATCAGAATTTACAGGCAATATGGAACATCATAAAACCCCAGATTGCAGTGCTAGTTCAGATTCATAGCCAATATCTTGCTTTGTCATCCTAAATCTTCAGTTTCTACAACAACAAACTACCCAAATAAAAGGCTACCAAGAGCACAACTCATTTGTGATGCCCAGGACATAGTTCGGGTGTGATGCACAGCAGAAGTTACCAGAAAGAGATACACAAAGGTTATATATGAGGTAATACCAACGAAAGTAATAACTGTAACAAAAGAGGGACAAATGTAAACATAAACTTCGATAGGCAACTATTCCACGGAAATGCGAGTTATAATTTCACTTGACTACCATAAGTGCACCATTTGCCCTTTTGCAACTAACAAACTTAGGAAATATTTGGCTAAACAAAATAAAGAATAAACTAGTTTTAGATCTTCATTTCAATTAGGAACACAATGGAAGAAAAGAATGTCTCTTTTTTGTTCATTCGTTTGTTTTCGTAAGGAGATTTAAGGTAAGGCACTGCAGACTGCAGAGTGAATCATTCAGAAAAATAAATACATGGACAGTAGGTTTAAGGTACCGCACTGGAGGGTGAATCCTATTTATCTATTAGCACAGATAAATTCAAGGAAGATCCACCCAGAGACCCACCAACCCCACTAGTGGTGCAAAAGAACATTGGAATTCTCAAGGGATGCTGGCCTGTAAAGAAGTTTGTTCTATCAGGCAGAGCTCTTCCTGCCCCTGACACAATCTTTAAACTGGAAAAATTGATGTAGGCCTTCCATACATCCGTATGCTAGATGAACGATGCTGACATGTACCAATTTAATGGTAGAACAGATAAAGGTCTTAAACCCCTACGATTTTAATGGATGTAAACCCAAAATCATGAACTAGTCCTTAGAAAGGGTCACTGATCAGTTATGGTTGGAAGAAGATTTAATCAACAGAGACAGAGAGAGAGAGAGCGAGAAAGCAAACACTGAATAGGAATCTGCTTTAAATATTACGGTTAACAAGAGCATTTATTTTGCATGTGAGGCACCAAACAAATACAGTATTTCGTGCAAACAACAGACAGCGAGAAACTGTCAACTTAACCGAAACAGAGCAGAACTAAAAAGTTAGAAATTTCAGGATGTCATTGTTCTTCTTTTTTATGCAATAAAACACCAAAAATTGACCCAGGAAAAGGAATTTACTACTTTGACTAGGATGCACATCTTTGAATTAAAAGGATTTAAGGAACTACGACAAGTTATAAAGAATGCATCGACATGGGAGAGCTAAATCAAATTTGTACCCTAGGTTAATCACCAAGCTAAATGAATTATGAAGCAAATGACCTTCAGCCATCATCAGAACACAACAGCAGTGCATCGATATGACAGGTATGGCACTCAGGTGCAACCTACTAATGCAAAGAAATTGAAAATTAATGTCATAACACTGATCAATATGCAAATCAGCAATGCAACCAACACAAATTCAAATAAAGAGAACAGAATTGCTACAGACAGAGATGGGAAGCTTCCCCGAAGTTCACACTTTCAACAATGCCATAGCACCATTGACTAGGAGATGCTTAATCCTTTAATCACAAAAATCCCTCTCCCCGCTTCAATTTCCTTCTTTGAATAGAATGAAGAATACAACAATGTGCGTGCCATTCTTAGATGATCTCAGATGAAAATAATCAACCAATGACACTTTCTGCCATATTAGTTCGAATTCATAACATCAGATCGGAACCCAATTGCACAAATGCAAGTCATACTCAAAATGCAATAAAAACATTAACTAATAAACAACCCAAATTCCAAAACAAATATCAGTATAACAGATGAAACTATGGAATTAAAAAAACCACACCTGCTGAGTGTTTATCCATGGCATCCTGGGACTCCTGTTCCTCTTCCTCCACTAAAGGACATAAAACTTCTCCATCTTTATCCAACCCAATTTTCCCTTCAACTTTTCCACAGCCATCTGTCTCTTTCTCTTCTCCAGGAAACCTCACAACAATCACAGGACAAACACAGTGATGAACACAATAATCGCTCACACTTCCCAACCTCCCTTTTGCAGTCCTCTTCGCAGCTCCAAACCCTCTACTCCCCATAATCACAGCACTCAAACCCAACCTTTCCACCTCCAAACAAAGCCTTTCCTTCATATCATGATCTTTCACAACGTGAACCTTAAAGGGTAT